CCACTAATCACAGTACATTTTCAAAGTCGCATCTCTATTTCAAAGATAACTGGGTGTATTTTCTTCATATTACACCCAAGTTTACAGGACAACCGTGTATTAGTTTTTGGAACACAGGTTATCTTTAAGTAACTTTCCTGTTGCTTTTCTATTTGAATTGTATTATGACTGAAAAATTGTATCCATTCCAAATCACCATTTCCTAGGAACTCGGAAGACGGGGAAATGCATCCCTGGAAGAGGCTGCCAGTGCTCACCCTATGCTTTGCAAACGTACCCTATCGAGGGATTTCTGAATAACCATCTCCTGGTTGTTAAGTAGTGTAGGGAGCTTTAAAGAATTTAACTGACCTTTCTCTTCAGGAATTACCAAGTGGTCACATAAGTCCAGGCTTAAAAAGTTTATAGGAATCCTTCCCTAACCTCCCCACCCCCAATCTCTGTGTTTACGGTAAAATCCCTTCCATTGTTAAAAATGAGAAAGTTTTAAAAAAATCGGTCTTTCCTTTCTGCTTATCAGTTACATTGGGAAATAGTTACATAAAGGTTGTGATTTATGCCCCAGGTCTCTGCTTACCATCTGCCCTATTTATTGACAAATTTTCTGAAATCGCTTTTACTATGTAACTTGCCTGTTCTAGAAGGGGAAAGGACCCCCGGCTTCCAGGAGCGGTCTAGTTCTTCAGATCCCCTTCCTCGGCCATTCTTCTATCCCTTCTCGCCCTGTCTCCTTGCCTTGGCTAACGTGGTTCCTTTTCCCGCCCCCAACGCAGACAGACAGCGCTGCCTGGGGGAATCCCACCTGCCCGGCCAGGCCATGGGGCTCTGCTGTCTCGGCTGCGACAGGATTGTACCTTCTGAGAAATACGGTCCACTGGCTCCCAACCATGAAACTTAGCACTGAATTAGTTTTAATACAAAGCAAAACTACATGTAAAGTTTGTTTTTCAAACTTGCAGTGAGCTCCCCAAAGCATCTGATCTGTCGAGATGGATTTGTTTCCTTCACGGTGACTAGAGCAAAGAGCTTGTGAATGCCTTTGAAATTCCTCAGCATTTTTTTTTATTGCGGCAAAATTCACATCATATAAAGTTTACCATCTTAGTCATTTTTAAGTGTAAGATTCGCTGGCATTAAGCACATTCCCATCGCTGTGCCACCACCACGACGGAGCTCCAGGACTCTGGGACACTGTTGTCCGTCTGCGGGAGGCAGACGGCACAGTCCCGGTTAGTTTCTGATGATAACAATACAGTTTTAATTCGCAGAACTGTACACCAAAAAAGGTGTATATTACTGTGTACTAATTATACTTCAATAACATTGATTAAAAGCAAAATAAGGAGGGATGTAGAGGGAGTGGGCTGGGGACAATCGGGACCCAGACCACAAGGGGTGGCGGCACAAAGGGAGAGATGGAGATTTCACCAGACACAGGGGCCCTTGAGAAGGTTGAAGAGGGTGGTGGTGTTCATTCACTCATTGCCAACATTTTTTTTTTTTTTAAATCCTCACCCGAGGACATTTTTTCCATTTTTTGTTCAGATAGCGTGGGAGGGAGAGAGAGAGAGAGAGAAACATTGACATGAACGGGACACATCGAGTAGCTGCCACCCACATGCATGACCCAACCAGGACCGGAGACAAACTGCAACGGAGGTACGAGCCCTTAGCGGGAACTGAACCCGGGGCTCCCTGGTCCGCGGGCCGATGCTCTAACCGCTGAGCCAAACCAGCCAGGGCTCATTGCCAACATTTTTGAGCATCAATGTTCTAGACACTGTGCCAGCCACTGGGATGGGTCAGACATGGGTTCCACAAAGTTTATCCTGACTGCATTACAGGTGATTGAGGGACAAAACTAGCAGTTTTTCACCATCGGGTAAAAAGTACTAAATCAAAGGCAGTAGCAAAGGTGATGGAGAGCAAAGGCTACATGTATTTGTACTTTTACCTATTAAAAGGGCCACCATGAAATCACTGATTTCACCATTTTGTTCTTTTTTAAATCACTCCAAGGTTCCTTTAGTCTGTTATGTAGCACAACAAACGAGCACTGTGTAAGCTCTGTCAGCAGCAGAGAACCGTGGAACAGATAATAACACATACACTGAGCATGCGTTATTTGCAAGGCACTGTGGTGAAAATGGTCTAATTACATCAATATCATGTTCGTAGAATATTGATGGGCAGCTGATTTTCCACAAGGCTTTTTGGAGATGAAACTGGAGATGACTTAAATGTTTATCAACACAGAAATGGTTACACAGATTGTAGGGAACTAGACTGTGAAATACCATGCCATGGATCTATATGCAGTGACCCAGAATGCTCTCAAAAGACACTGATAAGTAAAACATGAATTGCAGAACGTATCACAAAGCATGATCACATTCATGTAGAAACACTGATTTCTCTATAAATACAGACATAAAGGTCATAAAGATATACCTAAGGGGGTTGGCCCGTCAGTTTGTACTGCGTGTGGCAATGTGAACATGGCCATGCATTCCATTCCTGCTACAGAGAAACCCAGTTTTCCAGGTTGGCAGACCCAGTGAGTAGATTGTATTACATCCTGGGCTCACATTTCTCCCCTACAACCTTACTGGTAATTCAAATCATATAATATCCTCATATAATGATGAAGACTACGTAAGTGTGTGTGTGCACATGTGCGTATCTTTTCAATTGCCAAATTATTTTTAGACTCTATCAATGACTTATAGTTATGTATATCAGAGGACACTTGAAATGAGAACATACCAACTATTGCAAAGGGTTTTTCCTTAAGTTATCAAAAAAAAAATTAAAAGAAATACGTAATATATTTAATTTATTCTCACCTAATTACAAAACCCTCGGAATACAAAACTATTCATTGCAAATGAGCTAATCGAATTACAACCAGCTTTGATCTTTCGGTTCAAAACACACTAAACTGGCATGCAAAACGTCCTTTCCTATTCTGAAAATGATGTCTGAAGTGCACCCTGCCGCCACAGAGGTCATTTGGAAATAACAGCCGTCGTCCGAGTCGGCACGCTGACAGCCGGCTTAGTCAAGGGTTGTGTGTTCTTGGTTCCCAAATTAGTACCTCCGAGGAATACTAACTGGAAGATTGGGCAGAGGGTGGTGGAGACGTTTTATGTATTTATCTGGAGTTTTGTAAAGAATGCTTTCAAAGGCCATTAACACGAGACCAGTTAGCCACTGTCGCCCAGCTACAAATGAAAAATTAATGTGAGGAACTCACACGGCATTTTCAGGGCCTCATTCCAAATAGAATTTCCCAGACAGACTACCACTGTACTCTTCTGATCTTTGGCCCACTTGAAGTTAAAAAAAAAAAAAAAAAAAAAAGGCAAGATAGTAGGTGTAAATGACTGAGAGGGCCCCGAGGATGCTCTGGGAAGCTGAAGGGTAGGAGCTTCATGGAGGATGTCTTGATAAGACGTCTAGACTATCTGTAATTTGCTGAGCATGAGGAAAACCAGAGTATTACGAAACCTTGTGAAGCCAACAGCTACCAGAGCTGAAAATGCTTGAGAAACTTGGAATGACGCGTGGGAACGGGGACTCGAACACTCTGTGACCCCAGCGACATTTAGGAGTGACTCCTATCACAAATGCAAAAGACGAAAAATGCCACAGGAAGAGGGGACAAGCATCCTTCAAGCGCCAGAACGGAATTGTAAAAATGTGAACGGGACGGAGATAGAAACCACCAAGTCCGTCCACACATCTGAAAGCGCTTACTGGGAGCGGACTGAACGAAACATCACAGCGCCAGATAAGCAGACAAGGCAAGGAGCTGCCCTTCGTACAAGTTAGGAAAATGCATCTCTCCCAGGTTTTCCTACGTCTCAGACCCTTCACCCCATTTGCCGGGGCAGCCTTTTGCCATGAGCAATGTGTGTGTACAAGTCAGGAAAACGCCTCGTTAGTAGTTTACTTACAGAGTGAGTCATGGGAACCTGTATGTTTGACCTGAATCGTCAAAGGAAAGAAAAGACCAGCTGGTAAAGAAATGGTTGGTCACAGCAAACCACTTACTAAATTATCTGAGCGAGTATTTTAAGGAACCACATCAGAAAACGCTGATCTATGCCTTGGTTATTATTTCTGCCAAGAACTGAGAAATCGGACACAAAGTAACCCATAACCGAATGAGATATTAACACCACACACCATTAACATTGCTTTTCCACTTCTCCATAGAGGGACCCCTGCTTCCTCTTCTCTAAGCACCTTAGGAAATCTATTGTCATGATGGCCTCAAGGCCACACCTCTGCAGCGAGCTGTTCTCACGGAGGAATGAGGTGACTTACTCCCATGGAGAGCAAAGTGCCTTCTCCACTTTTCCTGGCCCACCCTCCCATCTCGTTCCTCCAGCAAGCACCTTTATTTTACTTATACCCGAGTCTACATCATGAAGGACAGTTTGACAACTCCATGAGTTCACTGAGATATTTATAATGACCCTATTGGGTCAGTCTCCACTCACCTCCACACCTGCTCCATTCAAGCAGGAGCGCCCCAAACCTCAGAAGCAATAAATAAAGGCTCAGGAGCCTGGAGAATTCCACGAGAACGACAGCAAGGAGTCAGGCCCTTTCTCTGAGGAAAGAGAAAACCGACTGGGTTGCCTAGAGAGGTCTCAGTGCCCTTCAGAAAGGTGTGAACAGTGCCACCTAGGTCCTGGGAGGAGGGTGTGAGTGAGCGACCTCTGCAGGGCCATGGTGGACACTGGGTGGAGATGACCTCGCCCACCTGGCGGGGACGGGGTGGGCGTGGAAGCGCAGAGAAGAAGGGCGCTGACTCCGGCCTCAGTTACTCAGCACGAGGACCTACATCTGGAAGATGTCCCCAACTTCAAAGAGTATGTGTGTCACAGGTTTCAACAGGTCACAGCAACGGCTTTTCTTTGGCTTTACGTTAATAAAACCCACCCTTCGGTGACCCGAAACCCCGCAGCGGCCCTCGGGAGGAGGCCTACCTCGATGATGTAGAGGACCACGTTCTTGTAGAAGCAGTACAGGATGCACTTGGTCACCCGGTTGTAGCTCCAGGCGCCGTGGACCAGCAGGAGCTTCTCTAAGTAGGAAAACTGCCAAAAGAAAACTGAGTTCAGAGGAGCCCCTCATTCAGGAATAAAGGTCATAACATGTCCTCTGCAGGAAATGACGGGCAAGATGACAGAGACAACCACTCACTCGGGAGAACTGAAGGCCAAGCTTCCGGGCCCAGTGAGTAGGGCTAAACAGCTCTCAAAACGACATAATTATAGTTTCCCCCAAATATGCAGTTGGATGGTAATTGTTATTCTCATGAAATTCTGTCCATGTAAATGCTTTTAAAGGGTCTTAATTATTAAAAGAAAGTGACCACCTGAACCGGAAGAAAAGTACAGTATGAATCAGACACCTCAATCACAGATTTTCTAGTGACAACAGGAGCAAGTGACGACGTCACTTGTGCAACGGTCCTCTTCTGAGGAAGGGGACACACATTTATGTACAACCCATTTCCACTGTCAGCCTGCAGGTCAGAGTTACAGACACACATGGACACACACAGACACACACACACACAGAGACACACAGAGGCCCACACACCCTCTGCCTCCACTTGTACACCCGCTTGTCCTCCGTTTTGCCAGCCAGCACGGAGCACCTCTTGCTAGAGCGCTGAGCAGTCAGGGAACACAGAGCGCCAGCAAGCAGCCAGCACGCCAGCTACATCCCGACCCCAAGGCAACACTCCATTGCTCCGGGCCCGGTTCTTTGAGCACCACCCATGGAGACTCCTCAGCCTCCCTGAGCCTGGCTTGGCCCTCGGTGTCCTGTTTCATGGAGGTCCTCAAGAGCGTGAACATTGAACTGGAGGGCAGCAAGAGATTTTTTGTTTTGTTTTGTGGACTGTACTGTGCTCTGGCATGAATGCACTGCTAAGAAGGTCCTGTTTCAATGAACGGCTTCTCTACACTCCGGGAGCCTCACGCCAGTGTTGAGCTCCCCCTTGGCGGCCTTGCTCTGAGTCCCAGGCTGGTCCACAAGCCCCACCCCATGACTCTCCTGAAAGAGGTCATCAGGCTGCATTGAGCATGTCTACGAGCATTAGAAATTCTTTTGCCATTGTAAACTTCCTGTTAATTTCAGATTACTTCTGGAATTAAATTTAACTATCTGTAGAAAAGACTCTAACAGAATATAATATTTTTTTAAAAATACAATTCTTTGCAAGAGGCAGCCACATAACAATTCCCATCAGCCTTAAAGAAGGGGATTTGGTTCGATATGACATAACCTTTGAATGAGCTCTCCCGGTACATTGGGGTGAGGTGGGTCCCTCATCTGCGTACTCCAAAAGCTAGATGATGACTTCAAAATGGCAGGAGTAGGTGCATATGGAAAAATAAAACTTCCCATAAAGGCTCATTAAGGATTCCCAGGGGGCATAGGGAATCATAAAATAACTACCTAGACAAATAAAAAGGAAGTCTGCATTTGACCCGGACCCCCTGATGTTACACTTCAATGGGCACAGAGAACATCTGCTGGACTCATCCCAAATGCCTCAGCTTTAGCGCTGCAATGATTTATTTCCAGGAAAAAATAATATTCTAAATCAAAATGCTGTTTTCACGAGGTCGTTCGGAAAACATTAGGAAGGTACGGGGCAGGAGGGATTCTCTCCTGAGGAGAACAGGTCACTGCGGGCTCCCGGTGCCGGCACGGCCGCCCCTGGGCAAGGCAGCAGACCAGGACGGCCGTCAGCCGGGAGCTGCCGGGGACGAGAGCACGGGCAGGCTGGAAAGAAGCAGAGCCAGAGCTTTGCCTCGTTCATAATTTTCCCAGGACAATTATTGAAGCTAAAGTTTCTTCTTTTGTATACAAGCCTTCAGGGTACTTTCTCAAAAAGCCAATCAAAATGGATTCATCCACATTAAAATGAACAGATCAAGACAAGCTGTTAACGTCAACCAAAAACATGTATCATTCCACTAGGGGCAAAGGGGTTCATCGAACCCTGGCCTTTCCCACTCAGTCCTTCTAGAGGAGAGAGTGCTGGGTGGAGAGGCTGCTGCCCTAAAATCAGGGGACCTTTGCCTCGTTAGGAACAGGATTGTGGACAAGAGAAATGAAGACCCACAGACGTGGGGCCATTCATCAGTTGCTTTGGCAGGGGGGACTATTATGCTGGAGGGGCAAGAAAACCCCTAAACAGACTTAGAAAGCCCTGCTCCTCTCTCTGCCCTTCTCTGATGCTTTTAATTTGAAGAGAGCAGTTGCTCCGGATTCCACATCCTATTACTGTGCAGTTTCAATAACTCAGGTCATGGAATCGCCCTTCCCTAGACATTTTAAAGAAAAAGACAGACAAATATTTGCCTGAAACTCCTAGGAAACCTTTAAAGATCCCTTCCAGCCATATGATGCTATAACTCAAGTATTTAATAATGCTGGGGTGTATAACATCTACACTTACTGACAGACTACAGGAAGCGTGGGTCCCCCAGGCCTTGGAGGAGTTGACTCAGGAAAGTACACCGGCAGGTGTGCGGGGCCAGTCCCCAAGGCCACATGCAAGGTCTGGTGTTCTCTGACCCTGGATGCTCCGACCTGAGGCAGGTCCACCGAGAAGAACCCCTGTGTCCCCACCTGTGAAATCAGAATTCCTTCTACCTACTTGGAGCAATTACCTGGAGGACTTATTTGGAATCAACAAAGGTGCAAGATTGATTTCACGCACTTTTCAGAGCCGGGAGGGTTTTGTAATTCCTCCCTGGGCTTGAGAACCACGAGCTGGGAGGGAATCCGAGCGGTGATCTAGTCCAGAACCCTCCTTTGGGGAGGCAGAGCCCCAAAGCTTCAGAGGACCAGCCTGCAGCCCTGGGGTGACTGGAAGCTCTTTCCTGTTTTAAATGCAGCCCCAGATTTCAGTGTGAGGAGAGAAAGAGCCACTATTGCTTGTGTTCAGGTGACTGAGGTTAACACATCCTTCGAGAGACTAGACACTGGAGAAATCGGAGAAACCCTAGGGAACCTGCAGACAGGCAGGATCTGATCAACACACACTGCACCGGGGGCAGCGGAAGCATCCTGTGTTCGCTATCAGTCTAGAGTTTCTCTATAACCGTGCAGGCCAAGCGGCCTAGATATGTACCTGAGGGCTCAGGAGGTTGGCTGACCCTTCACCTTTTGGCTCTTGTTAAGGAGCAGACATTTCTGTATCCTCCGGCCACCCATGCAGTAACTGCAACGTGCCAGGGCCCCTGTGGAGGACAGTCACTCCATCCTAAGTGCAGGAGGCTGTTTGCCACTTGCCGTGGGTGCTGACGGCCCACGCCCAGCTCTCAGTTCACCTCGCGGCAGTGGCGCTGGGCAGTGCCCTGCCACAGCTACAGAGAGAAGGGAAGCCGTAAACCACTGCTTCTCCCCATCCTAAACGCCTGAGGAGAGAACGCTCCAGCACCTCTGAAAAGAGATGCCACCTGGGAAGCACAGCAAGTGGGCGCTCTGGGCACAGCCCGGCAGGAGCACACGCAGCAGACGCACGAGCGGGAGGTGAGCGATCACCAGGACTAGGACCAGAGACCGTCTGTCAGGAATGACAGCTCGCCCAGATCACAGAGAGCCTGGCCGACCCACAGCTGGCAGGACAGGGCCTCCAAAGTCTTGGGCAAGATGACAGAAGTTCAAACCACTGTGGTTTCACCCAGATGGCAACCGCCAAGGGGTGGCGAGTTCTCAGGGCTGGGCTGAAGGGCTGGAGCACCAGCTAGGCCTCCCTGCCAGCGGACAGCATGGATGTCACAGCCGGTCAACCACGCCTCTGACCTGTGCGATGGCATAATCCGAGTTGTTGGTCGCCTGCATGCCTTCGTTGCCACTGATCCCCACGCCCACATGGGCTGTCTGGATCATCCCAACATCATTGGCACCGTCCCCGATGGCGAGGGTGATGGCCTTCACCCGCTTCTTGACCACGTCGACGATCTCCGACTTCTGCAGAGGAGACACTCTGTAAGGGAAGAAAGAGATGTTATGACTGTATTGATCTTTCCAGAGGAAACAGCTGTAATCTACATTTAGCTGCATTAAAAGGGCAGTCACTGGACAATTTCCAAATTCAATACATACATTTTATGTTCGTGTGCAAAGAAGCTTTCAGAAAACAGTAGCTTGTGGCTTTCAAGTATTTGCCAAGTTCACAGCTGAAGTGCACAACTCAGAACTGACTTAAAGCATAGGCCATGTGTGATCACTCTGCTCAGGGGAGCCACACTGCCACCCCCAGGGCACGTGTGCCCTCCCGAGAGACAGGGCGGAGCGGGCTGAGGAGGCCTGAGGAAATGTCTTCCCAGCAAATCCGCACAGACCCCGTTTTTGCGTTGGTGTACATCATTCACAACCTAGGGCTGGCAAGAGGATTTTCCATAAAATCTGCTTTCACGGAAGGGAAAGTAAGTGGCAGGACTTGAGAAATGCAGTAAAAGGACCAGAGTAAGAGGAAAGAAGAAAGACTTCTCCAACTCCACCCGAGACAGACGGCGTCTAAGGGCAGCCAAGGCAGAGGACTTGAGAAGGGGACTTAGGGGTGGGCGGTCTACTCGGGCTGATGTGTGGCAGCAGAGCCCCAAGGGGAAGACACGAGCAGCCTCTGCCTAAGGGGGTTGTCACCACAGAAATCAGGAAGGTGGGCCACTATTCGCAAGCCCTCGTCACCTGGGAAGAAGACCCAATATAAATCTGTGGTGTCTAAAGCACAGCAACACTGATTTAAAAGTTTTTTTTCTTTATTGATTTTTAGAGAGAGAAAAAGGGAGAGGGAGAGAGAGCAGAAACACTGATGAGAGAGAACATCGATTAGCTGCCTCCTACATGACCCCTGGGGATTGGGCCCACATCCTGGGCATGTGCCCTGTCCGCGAATCGAACTGGCGACCTCTTGGTGCATGGGTCGATGCTCAACCACTGAGCCACACCGGCTGGGCAGAGCAAAAATGATTATATGAAATGTTTGTCCCAAGTATAAGATCAGACAATACAAAAACACAATAGAACAATGAGTTTCTAAGGACTGACTTATTTTCATTTTAAATTCTGAATTGGTAAGCTGATTTGGGAAAGTTACTGAATCACTAACACACACACACACACACACACACACACACACACACACACAAACACACAGTAAAAGACCTTTCTGGGTTCTCAGGGGTACTAGCTGCAGCCACACAGGGGCTGGACTTAAAAACTAGAATAGACACTCAAAGGCATTCCCAGGAGAACTATGAGCTTTCATACGGCCAACCCACAAAAATGCTTGTTTCCAGAAGAAAATTAAATTTTACCGACTCTGGAAAGAAATGTGTTCGGTGAGACAGCAAGCTGGATTTAAAGCCATAGGTACTCCGAAAGCCCCTGCTCAGTTACAAAGAAATAAAATTCAGCAAGTTGGAAAAAGGGCACTTGAAGCCATGTCGTATGATCTACGAACTCGTGTGCAATTTTCCCAGCCATTTTCAGTAACAAGACTTTATAGCCTCCTGGGGTAGTTGCAACCACAAAAAATTATTATTATTACTTTATTTATTGTTGATAAGCACAGTTAAAAAGTACTAATTGTGCCCTCTGGGCTAGACTAGAACAAATGTAACTTTTCTTTCAAGTATTAGGGAGGTGGAAATATAAAGACACCTATCACATCTTCTCCCCACTGCTCAGTTTCTGCTGGCTAAACAGTCTCCGGTCCTTCGACCACTATTTAATAGGCATACTTCAGAACTGAAAATAGCTCCCAAGTATGAGCTCCTAGACAGCTGAGAGCAGAACAGAGCAGAATCACCAGCTCCCCGGTAGCAGATGCCAGACTGACCTAAATGTAGCTTAAAATACAATTACTGAAAACGTTACTATTGTTTATCATTGAGCTTCCTGTCAACTGAACGCAAGCAATTGTCACACACAGAGATACAACTGTGTCCATTCCCTCCAAGTTTGAGCAACTACACTTGGAGCCAAGGGCTGATCTTTCCAGTCCTGTCTCTCATTACATCTCTGACTGGAGACGGGCAGACACAGCTCCCAATTCTAACCTGCTATGCAAATGTGATTTCGCATTTTATTTCTGAACTCAGCAGAAGCTGAGCTCAAATACCCTTGGAGAAAAGGACCTAGGCTTCAACGTGGAGGAAGCGTGCACGGCTTTTTCCTGTGCCCCCTACGAATTCTGTCAGCAGGAGACACAAAGTTTGTAGGCCTTGTCTTTTCGTCAGTGAAATGGGGAAATGAGAACCACCCCCTTCACGAGATGGTCGTGGCACTTTTATGTGAAACCATTCTGCTTCTTAGCACGTGCGAAACACACATTATCTGCTACCCCACCCACAAGACCTCAGTTGTTGGGGCGGGGGGGATGGACACGTGAGAACCACATGCCACCTGACCCATGGTCCCCAAACTGTGTGCGCAGGTGTCCTGGGGTACTGGAAGGGGAATGATAAATTACCAGGATAAATACAGTAACATCTCTCAGGTAGTGGTACAAAGTAATAGCTCTAAGTAGCCCATAGTCTCAACATTAGATCATGCTACATTCCTTTGCATGATAAATCTTGGGGAAGCCGAGTTGTCATGGTTGCTATGATAAAAAGCAAATATACTGTGAAAAACATGGATGTCGAACAGGAAATGAGGGAGGCAGCGTCCTCTCGTTTCCAAGGATTGCACCGTGGTCAGCAGGTGCGCCCTACCATGTGATTGGTAAGTGATTGTAATTATTCGACAATAAAAGAAAGTATTTCTTTCATGTTAGTGGATGATTGTTTCAAATGTCTGCTAAGTTGTTAGGACATAAATACTCTTCAATTGTTTCATCTTGCCTGCTTAGCAGTTAGAGACTGTTCAGTTTTACTTTTGGCCTAGGGGCTTTGCAAAGGAATTACCGAGACACTGGGGTACCATTAATCCAGAGAATCTGGGAACCCTTGCATTAATCACTTCTCTCCGTGGTTACATTAATCACTCTTCAAGTACAATTACTCCTCCGCTGAAGTGGACCTTCACCGAGTGCTGCCATCATTTAGTCTCCAGCCCTTCTCCTCCATCCCCGAGACCACGGAGCAGACCCTTACACAGCACTGGGCTGGCCTGAGGCTGCAACTCCTTGAGATTCTTCAGGCCACCCACATAATCAAGCAAGCTGGCCTCTTTATCAGCAAAGCTGCAGTGGTCTGGAAAGAAAGGGGAGCAGGAGAGCCCGTGGACAGGAGGCTCAGGCACACGGACACCGTGCTGTGGAAGGTTTGAAGGGTTGTGGTGGTGGAGGAGAGAAGTTGCTAAACAAATTCAAGGTCTTCTTGGAGGCTGAAGTTGCTGCTGTTCCATCAGGGGGTTTAGCAATAAGCCGACCAACATGAGACAAGTAGCAGGTCAAACACACTCACTACGCCTGCCACTTTGCGATTTGGTTCTCAGGAACGTTGAGTCAAGTCATGATTCTGATGACTTCAAGTAAAATCTCTGAAAGTCCAACAGCCGCCTTTCCCCAAAAAAGCAAGCATTAAGAGAAAACCTGACGGGGTATATAAACTAAGTCATGATCCCGTGTTTTAGAAGCATGAAATTCTCATCAAGGATTTATGATGCCCTCGACTGTAATGCCTCAAGAAAACATAGCTCTAGCACACACTAGGGGCCCACAACAGATGGCAGACAGCTAATTCTACAGCACTGAATGGGCACCACCACGCTTCAGCCTCGCGGACTATTTTAGAACGCCCAGCGACCGCAAAGCACAAACCAGCTCTTTCAAAATCTTAATTTGCGACCTGAAATCACATGCCACACTTAATAAGTATTCCCAGCATATAACACATCCAATCCATAAAATAAGGTTCCCATCCACACCCGAGCCAAGCTGGGTGCTTAGGATACTTCTCTACCATATTTTGGTGAATTACAAATAGAAAGAGAAATTCAAATATCTTTAAGCAACTAGAGAGGTTATTTTACCCACTTTCTTTTGGCAAACACATGAGATTGTAAAATAAAAAATAAGTTTTCCTTTTGAGACTTTCAAACAAAGATTCCGTATTCTGTAAGATCTCGTTTATGGGATATGTGTTCCTGAAAATTTAAAACTCACTTTGTAGAGGTATTTCAAATATAACACTGAAATATAACCATTGGTAACTGCTTTTATAAGATTCCCGATCATGCATTCATTTATCTGATCTACAAAAGCCCTGGTCTCAGAGCGAGTTTTTAAATTCCAATCTTGCAATATCATTTAACAAATAAGTCCTTTCTCTTCTCAGAGCTCAGCTGCTCCATTTGTCACAGAGGGGCTGAGCCCCCAATACTGACATGTAAACTGAGCCCACCTGAGCTAGACAGTGAAAGGACTCTGCCCAGGGGCACCCAAGAGAACTTTGACCAGAGCCACGACTCTTTCTAATTAACCAGATTCACGACATACTTTCACTAACTGCACTTCAAAACTTCTTTATTCCAAATAGATAGAACTGTACTTTATCCCTCATGACTAAAGAAGAGATTTGAAGACCACTGGCCTAGATCACTGAGTCTCAAACTTTAACGAGCACCAGAACCATCTAGCGAGTCGGTAAAAGGACGGATTCTGATTGGGGCAGTCCGGGTGGGTCCCGAGAGCGTTCGTTTCGCCGAGGTCCGGGGATGTGCTGCGTGCCACGGACCCGGGGGCAGCCAGCACTGATCTGGACAGGATCGCGAGCTCTCTCTCGAAGCGTTTTCATCAGCTCGGCCTGCGTTCCCGCAGCACGGGGCACGGGCAGAGTTCCCCAGGCTGACGTGCAACGATTAATTAACAGCAACACCGAATTCTGCTCCCTTCCTTTGTGCTTTGCATATGTAAGTTCTTTTTTTTTTTTTTTTTTTTGCTTTTAAACCCAAACTAGTAATTACAAATTTAGGTTGGGATTTCATTTAAGACACTCTTCCCATCTGAGCATCTCACATAAAAGGGAGAGAGGGGAATCACTAAGACTAAGATACACAGGACTCCTAAGCTGTGTTTTTTTAAAAATGGTGCAGAAACCAACATACATGACTTCATTTGTGAAAGTATTCACCTCCCTGTGAATTGAAAGATAATATCCTTATGAAAGAGATTTCCTTTGATTAAAAACCATTGATATAACACATTATACCTTATTTCTTATAGCAGCCAGTGATCCAAAATGTTTGAAAAATTGCAGCACCTTCAAAAAGTCTTGTGCAGAGTTTGTAGATATATAAACACCTAACGTATGAGTCTAAAACCTAAAATAAACTATCCTATGTATCTATCTAATATGTTGCCACTGGTTGACCAACACCACCTTCCAACTTCTGTGCTCTCTTTTAAAAAAATTTTTTTATTGAATTTAAAGACAGAGGGAGAGAGAGAGAGAGAGAAAGTGATGAGAGAGAACATCGATTGGCCGCCCCCTGCATGCCTCCCACTGGGGATCAGGCCCACAACCTGGGCATGTGTCCTGAGCGGGAATTGAACTGGCGACCTCTTGGTGCCAGGCCCTGTGCTCTCTCTTTGATGCATTTAGTGTCCAGGCCTTGGACAGTTACCCATCTGGAATGTCCCACACCTGTGCTCTGACCTGAAAATGTGTGACTCTCTCCAATCCGATCTCATCTCAGTGTTTGGTACATCTCACTGGAGCCCCGAGCTCCAGGAGCAGATCATGTGGGCAGCCCCTAGAGCACAGTCACAGGCAGGAGACTGAGCGGAGGGGCAGCAGGAGGAAGGAAGGGGAGTCTAGGTGAACCCAACAGGCAGCTTATGTGTGGGCACAAACAAGGGAGATGTACACTCTACCACTCAATGGTGCTAAAGCAGACCTCGCTCCCTCATTACAAACACGTACAGACAGCGAGGAGCTGTATTATACACGAGGAAGCCACCAAGATAGTGCCTCGAAAGGACACAGCCGCTGCAGGAGCAGTTCAGGTTTGACTGCAAGGGCTACAGGGCCTGGCTGAAAGGCAGCCCCACAAGGGTGGGGCTCGAGTAGAACATGTCAGAAAGAGCAGAATGAGCTCTGGCTGGTGTGGCTCCAAGGTTAGGGCGTCGGTCCTTGTACCCAAGGGTCTTGGGCTCAATTCCCAGTCAAGGGCAAGTACCTGGGTTGCAAGTTCAATCCCTGGCCCTGGTCGGGGCCCATGCAAGAGGCAACCAATTGATGTGTCTCTCTCTCATGTCAATGTTTCTCTGTCTCTCTCTCCTGCATGCCTCCCTTGCTTCTGCTCTCTCTCTAAAAACCAGTAGAAAAAAATATCCTTGGATGAGAATTAACAAAAAAGAAAGAAAGAAAAAAGAAAAAGAGAAGGCAGAATGAGTGCTCGCAGAGAAAGTACAACCCACGAGACCGTGGGTCTGAGCGCAGCCCGTACACCTAGTGGTCACGCGAGCGACAGGCACACACACGCGGGGTGAGCGTGCCTAGCCTCGGCTGCGATGGCAGTGAGGGCTTCTACCCGTCCCAGCACTTCCTCTGCGGACCAGGGTGTTATGAGGTCCTCCCATGGAATCACGTCTCTCAATCCGTAAACATTTCAGAACAGCACTGGATTGGTTTCCTACACAGTTGCTGTTCTTTCCCTAATGTCATCAGCAGCCTCATGGACTTCCAACATCTCAGGAATGGATTCCGAATTTATTCAATAGATTTATTTATTTCTATAAACTATTTATTCAGTATGATTGATTTTGTCCCTTACATGGACTATGTGTCTCTCTCTCACCTTCACTTTTTATTCTGTTCCTACCCATCCCTCCCGCCCTCCCGTTCTAAATCTAATCTGGTGGAGAGTCAACAAGTGGTGACTAATACCAAAGTCATGAACCTAAGACTCAATCACATCTCTAAGCATAACTACAAACCATAGGAAAGAATATAGTTCCACTTAAACAAAAATACGTTAACTTCCTTGTAAGCGACAGACCTGGAACATGCCGTCAGTGTGTGATGGTGAAAGACCACTTCTCCTCGTAGACGGAGAGAAGGGGAGGGATGCAAATGGGCACCTCCATGAGGTAGAAATGTATCACCCTCAGAAAAGAGTTCAAACACCCCACTTTTCCTGTGACCTAGGGACGGACCCTGCAAGTTGCCTAGTCACACACGCCAGTGGTCTGGACTTTCCTACCAATGGCCTTAGAAACGTTCTGGGCTTATTGCAGGCTTCTTGTGACAGCCCTTCGGTGACACTGAGCTAGTGACACAGAGCTGGCTACAGCTTGGCTTCACACGGGCCCTCCGGGAAGGCTGGCACGTAAGCCTGGCCCTTGTAGTCCCCTGGCTCTTCCCGTCCCAGTGCTTTGACTCCAGAAGCCAGGAGCCAGCTCCTGCGGATCATCTTGCACAAGCACTTTGAGGGCTTACCAGACACTGGCCTACCAGTCTCTACAGAGGGTCTCAGGGATGTCAGGTGATGCCAATCATCCAGCCAAGTCTTTGTACTTAAGCATCTCACCATGTAGTTGTGCTTTGCACAATGATTTAAGTCTAAGATCACACCTTTCACAGTCTCAAATACGTCGGTACCTTTGTACTGTTAATGCCTATTCAATACAATGCCTAGTAGAGTAAGCATTTAACTTGCTGATTAAATAAAATGATGGACCTATATCTCATTATCAGTGATAAACATTTGCATGAAATAGCCATGAACCTTCATGTGACCCATGTGAAATACAGGTCAGTATGTCACAGGATTGGTTGAGCCACTAATCTGAGAATCCAGATGTACTGTCGGCATTACTCATTTTGGTAAGATAAAACATACATGCTTTGCCTGGCCGGTGTGGCTTAGTGGTTGAGCGTCGACCCATGTACCGAGAGGTTGCTGGTTCGATTCCTGGTCAGGACACATGCCCAGACTGTGGGACTGATCCTCAGTGGGGGGCATGCAGGAGGTGGCCAGTCGAAGTTCTCTCTCATTAATGTTTCTTTCTCCCTTCCTCTCACTTTAAAAATCAATAAAGAAAAAAAAAAAACCCAAACATACATGCTTTGATAACATTCGAGTATTTTACCGGTATCAGCCCAAGGCTGTCTCCCCGCGAGTACGCCGAGGCGGACGCACGCCGCATGCAGAGAGCGGGAAAGCCTGGCTGTGCCCGGTGAGGGGGGCGCGCAGGCAGCTGCGCCATCGCCTTGCTTTATACCTCGACGGTGCAGTTCTGTGATCACTTTAGAAATTTAACATGTGTGTATATATACATGCCTATATTAAATTCAAACTGCAGAAACCTTAAAATCCAAGGAATCCTATTAGTACGCAGATTAGTTTTTACAATGGTATAGGTGTTCATTTTAAAAAAATGCTAAGGTTAACTGTTTCCACATTCCAGAATACGCTCTTTGGGCATGACTCAGCTTCCGCAGACAGGAGCTGAGCTCTCCTGCACACTCCACCAAGGGGGAGAAGGGCTGGAGGGGCAGGTGGGAGGGAGGGAGGGGGGCAGAGATGGTGGAGAGGAGGGAGGAGAGGGGACAACAGCAGGAGAGAACGTGAGAGCTTTTAAAAAATACTACTTATATAAACTTTCCACTGTAACAATTTATTACAATTACTACTAATAATCTCCTTGTTGTTTAAAAGGTTCATTTAACCCATTCGATACTTAATCGTAACATAAATCATGAAGGGGTAACTGATTATCTTAGTGTCACACACGCACACACACGCACACACACACACGCACACACACAGAGCACAAGAGCTAGTCCTTTTTTTTTTGGTAATTCTAGCATTTATTTATTTATTGTTTGCATTTTTTTATTAATTTATTTTTGTTACAGATGTTTCTCCTTTCTCCCCCTAGACACCCTCCTCCACAACATCTAGTCTTGCCTCTTTTTAGTACTGACCTTGAAAAACAATCTTGCCAGTGTTTTAATAAGTATTCTGTACTTTCACCTTGAATGCATGACCCAGAGCTTAAACAGAAATGATTCTTAGATATCTTATAACCAGAAGTCACTCTTCTATGGCCTCTAAACCTGGGTTTCAGACTCTAAAACTTTCCTCGACAAACAAGAATTTTAAAGGGAAGGAACTCTAACAACTAATTCGGGGATGAGGCCGTATATTTGTCACCGATCTTAATTACTCCATGACCGGTGACTGCCTTCACTGTCCTGTGATCATTCTCTCCTGTCCACCCACTGGGCAGTGGTAAGGCGAGCAGGAACTTGATATTCTTTATTAACCGAACGAAACCCTATAACCTGATCCTGCGCTGTGTCTAGAGACGCTGCCTGTGCAGCTGAGCCTTTGTGAGTCGCTCTCAGAAAAAGGGAGGACACCCCGTCCGCGCGAGATCGGTTTACTCCGCAGCCAAGAAAGGGCCCACTTTGAAATGAGTATCCCCTGCTTGGGGATTCAGAACGCATGCATCTGGACTTGTGTCCAGGACAACTTGATCACATGCCGGGAACAGCTATCCGAGTGGCACTCGGATGGGACTGTAGCTTCTGAAAATCTCACATCCCCACTAATGGATGTAGAATATATTAAGATCTGGGCAACCGCATTTCATCTCAAAATTTAATAGGTTGTATGTTGTGAATGACGTACAGTTTTCTAGTCACTGAAATCTACTGGCTATGGTCTGTTTCTTCCTGTACCAGGCTGAAAAGAATGGAGAGGTCTAGGAAGGCTGGGATTTAAATAAAAGATATTAGATCCCTCTGTTCCCAGGCTGAAACAGGGATTAGAATAACGCATTAGAATACCTTAATGTTTTTAGCACAAAAGGCTTTAATTTGATACTCTGTTTCCTTGAAATGCTTTATTAAGGTCACCAAGACCCTCTCAGGAGTGTCTGCCTTCCTCGAACTGAACATACATTTATTGTTCTCCACTGCAAATTTCACTAGTGTTTCAAAACAGCTGCCTGGCCTCTGCTGCGGGGAAGGTGGGAATGGGAAACAGAACCAAGAGGAAATCTGAGACGTGTCGGAGTTTTGACATTTCAGAGCAAGCTTACGGCTCCGGCAGGGCCAGGCATCGGGGGCTCATGCCCCGCTGAAAATGGATGACGACCAAGATGCCTAATAGAATGATGTTAATAAGACCTGCGCTTTACCTGTTACCTGTGCCTGGAACAAAGGTCATCTGACTGCCAATCCACTACATAAGCCAAATGTAACTACTTGTCCTCTGGAAAAAGTGGGGCAGTCTTTGCACCTCCGACCTTCAACCCAGCCCTAACCCTAACCACCGAGAGCCCAAGAGCCTCGGGCTGGCAACGCCGGTGGAATTTGTGGGGTGGGAATGGAGCTAAGTTAGACAAAGTTCTTTTCTCCAAAGAGCTAAGTGGCATACGCCCCTTCTCAAACCTAGAGCCTGCATTTAATAAGCCCTAAGTCTTGATGTCAACTGCAGAAAATGATAATGCTTTTTGAATTCCGTATATGTAAGACTATTTGAACTAGGAGGTACATTTGTACAAAGCCACTGAATATACAACTGTGAGCCTTTACACAAACTGTGGACTCTGGGCCATGACGTGCCAACGTAGGGTCACCGACTGCAGCAAAGGTGCCACTCAGGGGGAGGGGGTGACGATGAGGAGGCCGTGCATGTGTGCAGAGGGACGGGGTGGAGAGTGAGGGAACTCTCTGTACCTTCCCCCCAGTTTCGCTGTGAACCTAGAACTGTTCCAAATATTAGTCTATTTGGGGGGAAAAAAGAAGTAGCAGCATTCTACCACTCTCAAAATAGAACATGTAAATGATACCTGATGATTTTTTACATCTGCTAACGTCCTGGACAGTGACAGAGAAAGACAGCCGGACATCAGGCAAAAGGGGCAGGAAACCCAGTGGTGGCGGGACGAGGATGGGCATAGTGATCAACCACAGGAGAGAGTGCAGAGAGAACACATGAGCCCGAAGACACTGCGCACCCACAGATGAAATACACTGCCACAGCCAACAACAAGGGTAGTTATCCCCTGCAAAGCTGCATTTGTAACTTGCTCTTCTGACTGATGAAGACCATCGTAACAGCACCTCAATGCACAAAGTCTGGTCTGAGAGGCAGTGAGCTATGCACTCTGTCCCCATAACTGGGCTCTGAGCTATTTGGTGTTAGGGATTGGTTTTCCTCATCTTTAAATCCCAAAGCACCAAACACAATAGCTAACAAACAAGTGTTCGTTGAATTGTCTGTTTTTAGTGTTTTTTTAAAATGTTAAACACAATTCTCTTTCTCCTCCTTCCTAATTATAATTATTTCCATTTCAGGTTCAAGAACACACATACTATATGCATAAAGATCATGCAGTTTGATCAAAGAAAGTGAGAGAGTAAGAGTATCTGTTCATTACCACGCCTGTTCAGAGGAGCCCACGTCTGAACTTCTGAGTCCACCGGGTAGCTACACTTTTCAGAGGAATTAATACATGGGCAGACATGCGTATCACGCTACCACCTTGTCTAAATAACAATGACCTAAAAATCAAGTTTGCCATTTCGGGGGTTTGATAGGGGGGGTCGATGCTGCCAACACCTGCCACGTTCACCTTGGCTGGCAGCTGCAGAGCCAGTGCGTGAGGCCAAGCAGCGCTCGGGACAGAGGGCCCGGCACGGAGCCTGGAAAGGAGATCAGGACCAGAGCTAGATACAAAGCCACCTGTAGCAGGACTAGTTCAGGAGGGGAGTTAGAGGGAAGAAAGTTTCAGCCAAGAAACTTGAGAGACAGAGGGAAGGTACTCAGGAGCACCTACGGCAGGGTCTCCTAGCTTCATGCAGAAGCTTTTACGTCTCATTCGGGAAAGGTCTTGAGATACAATGGAGACAGCGAGAACTGCTACACAGTACCTCGTAATTATACCCAACCAGTAGCTGAAAATGGGTGTCATCAACCACACTGAGGGACAGCTAAGGGAATGTGACAGAGGAGTGTGACGGGGAGGCTAAAGCAGCATCGTAGAAGCCAAGTTTCAGTGGACACCCACTCTCTTTCACTCACACACACACGTACGGGAGCATACACAGTATCTTATTAAACTGAAGTGGTATACAACATAGACAGGACCTACAGAAGTGATGATATCTTTGGTGTTATAATTTTTTTTCAAGCAATGTAACAGAAATGAGCTATCACCCACGTAGATCAGAGTGACCCAGTTTCCAAGGCAAAGTGACAGTGCATGCCAGACCTTCGTTGGGGTTCCAGGGACACCCAGGAGATGACAGCATGCACTGTACCCCATGAAATGCAGATATGGCGTGTCTCTTTCAATGGCCAACACCCAGAGTTGTGCAAGATAGAATTAGATTCTGTGACCTGGGGCCTAAGGTGATAATAACCAACATGTAGGGCAAGCCCTTCTAAGCCTATGG